GAACAATCTACAAGAGTAGTTCTACTAACCTTAGGCAGTTCAAAAATCGTATTTTCAAAATTTCTTTGGGATCATCAAAGCAGCCGCGGTGTTCCGGTATTTAGGCTTCTGCCTGCGCGGCTGCTTCGATATAAAAAACAAAAAAAACATTTGATATTCGTTATCCTCCGGAATCTTCATACATACATGAGACATCTGAATTCAAAATAGAAAATTAGGATAAGGGCTTTATCTCATTTTATGTCAATAACACGGCTCATCAAAGTATGGCAAATGTAGATTCAAATTATAGTACTTAACACGATAAATCAGTTGATTCGTTTTTATGATATGTATGTAAAATACATATATTTTGCTTCGGAAACGACAAGCATGCGGTTATAGGGGCGAAGGATACACCCAAAAAATATCAGTTTAAATTTTAGTTACGAAGGTAATCATACATAACTGAATATATAATGTTAAAAAAATAAAACCACTAATACCAGAACAGAAGGTTTGGGATCTACCATACTAAAGATTCAGAAAAAATAGTGACATTCGTTAACTTTAATTTAAAATTACTTCATTTTTCAAGCAACAACGGTTTTACAATGAGATGAAGGGAATTCTGTTTATAAACGTAAATTTTATCACAAAAGTATGACAATGTTCCCACTTAACAAAATAATTGTCATTAAAATTCTAATATTCGTTGAGTCATGACATCAGCTTTTCAACCCGTAAATAACACTTTATTCCATAATTCATCATTTTCCAATCGCTTTCCACTGAAAAATTTCTTAACGTTTGGGAAAGTTAGAAATCTGTTGGTGATAGATCAGGGTTGTATGGCGCATTTTCGAGTCAATGGATTAGTTCAGAATGCCGTGCCATACAGTCCCAACAAAGCACCAATCGACATTTTGTCTTTATTTTAGCTATAACAAAAAAGTTTAAACATTTTTTAGCGAAAGGCGATTCGAATGATGCATGAACCTTTCAGCATTAATGTGATTTTGAAAATGAGCTAAAACTAGATTTCTCTGGTCTTAAGTCCAAGGAACTAGAACCCTGGTATTTTTATTCGGACAAATTATATACACTTGTTGAGATTCCGGATCTGGATACGGTCCTTGGATATCTTCATATTGATATAGAGGTTCTGGGTGATTATTCTCTTGCTGTGCTTCTGATATCAAATTCTCGTCTAGTTGCAAATTACCGATTTTCTTTTGTAAAATGACCGGCCTCGCCCTTCTCCATCAACTTCAGATTCTTGGAGAGTCTAGCCGTTTGGTAGACATCATCTGGTAATCGGTATGATGCACGGTGTACCAAGTGTGTGTCCCATAAAAGATGCGAGTTGTTCCATGTCATTTTTTGACATGTTGAACAACTGGGTCACGATTTCAAGTGCTTCCTCAGACGTGTGCTAGCCAGAGCATGCGGATTTTTTGCTTGGCACACTCTTGAGTACACAACACATTTGCATGTCCATGAATTCTCAGAACATAGATAAAAGATAGACATAGCTCTATCCTACTCGGAGGCATCTGATTTATGGACGGAATGGAATTCAAGTGATCGGCAGACCGATATACGCGGTTCAGTTAATTCGGGTATTGTGGAGGAGTCAGCCCTGCTGTCTAACACTGATCTAACAGTGTTTAGTAAATTCGAGTATTTTGGGAGACTCAGTGCTGTTTTTTTGTGAATCGGAGGGTATTTTGATGAGCGATGTATCATACGGCTTTTGGTTGGCGTGTCTATATAGTTAATTCTGAGCTACTAGGAAAAATCAAAATCAAGTAAAGCTTGATTTCCTTATCCAAAAATAACGTCACGTGATGGCAAGCGAGGAGGGAAGTAATTCGAGTATTTTCGGAGACTCAATGCTGCGAACCAGTGGGTAGTGGAGTATTTCAATATTCCAAGTTTGAAAGTACGTTTTTAAGGCTTTATATCTATATCACAAAAAGCCATGTTTTTCAATTCCGTCGGTTTGTCTGTTGGCGATTTTATTAGCGCATAATCCCAGTAGCATCTGCGCTGATTTCAATAGAAGTTGGAGTGATGAGATGTAAACAAGTGATAGGAAATTATGGATTCTTGTTTATGTTTGTTGGGGGTATCCGATCATGTTCAGTTTTTCTTTTTGATGGGTTCGAAAAAACTCAAAAACGTTGTTTCTTGGCTTTTGCTTTTTAGAAGGTATCCTTGATTTTGTGGGCTGCTCGATGTTCCGATAAGTTCAGGGCATAGTCAAAGCATTATTTACGAATCAAGTTGGGCATCCTTCTTTCGCATGCTAGAGATGTTTTGTATAGTCTAAATCGAGTAATTAGTGTACTTAATGTTGCTGAATGGAGATCCTTGAAAGGTAATAGAATAATACAAGCCCGAGTTAGGAGACTTCAATTGTATTATCTTAAGAGAAATAACTGAAACTTGGCACCACTGCACGGAGGACTTATCCACTGGTGTTTAGATAATTTGAGTATTTTGGAGGACCTAATGCCGCTTTGTTATCTGGAGGGTATTCCGGTAGAGGACCCATCATACGGTTTTTGAAAGGGAGACCTATATAGCGGACTTTGTATGGAAATCCGAAATGTTAATGTACAGTTTTTTAACTGATCTTGGATCAATGTGTGTTGGTGTCGGATATTAACGAATTAAATTTGATATATATTCAGTATTTCTGGAAGGTGACTTATTGCTGGTTTATGAAAGGAGGACCTATCCACGTGGAGACGTAAATATATATATATATATATATATATATATATATATATATATAACTTGAGACGTGGTCATTGTTGTCTAGACCAGTTAGGTGAAAAATTAAAGCTTCCGCCTTTTGTTGGGTACTTCGACAAAATTTAAGCAAAGAGGACTCTTTATACTTTTTCTAATTCTCTCTAGCTTTCAATGGACTTTGCCATCATCATCAGGAGCTGCAATTACAATGATAACAGTAGCAACAAAAGTGTAAAATGAATTTAAATTGAATCAACTTACAGTAGTATGTGAGGATGTTGCTAATTGTTGTTTTCGTATAGGATGAGGGAAACGTCCAGTAACATGGTGAGACCTGGATACATGGTACAATGGTTAAAATTATATAAAATATGACAAGACAAGTTAAAGACAGATTAAAAATTATTTAGAAAACATTAGAGCATTACGTTGTAAAGCCACTTGATGATTGCGCAAAATGGTGGTCATGGAATAATGAGTGAGGTGAACCATTGACAGAAGGTCGAAGGTTGTCAATGTCTGTGTTGAAAGATGGAACGAATTGTGGGCGTGTGCCAAAACGTTGCCAAATCACTTCAGATGATGTGATTTTCAGAATGTTATGTAAGAAATTGTTAAACCGACCAGAGGCAGTTGAATAAACTATATTTTAATTAATGGGAACTTTAAATTAATAATTATTAATAAATCGTGAGAAGAGAATTATTAGATTTTGAGTGGAATGAAATTTGTTGGTGGAATCGGCCAAAACACAGATTATATTTATGGTTGTGAAAAGTCGAAATTTGGGGAGATATGTAGTTCTCCACCTCAAATTTACATAAACTATCAAAACTGTTCATCAATAATGGTTATCCGAAGTGTCTGATTAACAAGATCTTATTTAGTTCACCTTCCAATATTTTGCCGAACTCTGGTGATGCAGGTAATAGTCACACAACCCCTAATAATAACGGAACCGATATAATTCCCAATAATAGCATCAATCCAAACAGTACAAGCACCAACCCAGACTCCAGACCTGGTTTTGCTGTCCTGCCCTATATCAAGGAACTGACCCCTAAGCTGATCAGATTGTGCAGTCCTTTGAACTTTCGAATTGCTTGCAGATCCGTCCTCACTATAAACCGCATTTTTTCAAAAATGAAAGACAAAGTCCCGCTGCTTGGCTTAACTAACACAGTCTACTCCATCAATTGCAACAACTGCAACCAAATATACATAGGTCAGACCTCCAGATCTCTTAAAGGAAGGATTACATCACACAAAAGTGATGCTAGGCTTCATCCTGAAAGATGCGCTCTATCATGTTAACACAACAGGGCATTCTATGAATTACACAAGTATCAAAGTTCTTGATAAAGAAAAACACCTTTCCAAACGTTTATTCCTGGAAATGTCCCACATTTTCATGAATAATAACTGTATCAACAAAAAGACAGATATTAAACAACTGAGTGTCATTTACTCATATTTGCTAAACTGCGAAAAATTGGAGAACTTACATATCTCCCCAAATTTCGACTTTTCACAACCATAAATATAATCTGTGTTTTGGCCGATTCCACCAACAAATTTCATTCCACTCAAAATCTAATAATTCTCTTCTGACGATTTATTAATAATTATTAATTTAAAATTCCCATTAAGTAAAATATAGTTTATTGAACTGCCTCTGGTCGGTTTAACAATTTCTTACATAACATTCTGAAAATCACATCATCTGAAGTAATTTGGCAACGTTTTGGCACACGCCCACAATTCGTTCCATCTTTCAACACAGACATTGACAACCTTCGGCCTTCTGTCAAAGGTTCATCTCACTCATTATTCCATGACCACCATTTTGTGCAATCATCAAGTGGCTTCACGACGTAATGCTCTAATGTTTTCTAAATAATTTTTAATCTGTCTTTAACTTGTCTTGTCATATTTTATATAATTTTAACCATTGTACCATGTATCCAGCTCTCAGCATGTTACTGGACGTTTCCCTCATCCTATACGAAAACAACAATTAGCAACATCCTCACATACTACTGTAAGTTAATTCAATTTAAATTCATTTTACACTTTTGTTGCTACTGTTATCATTGTAATTGCAGCTCCTGATGATGATGGCAAGGTCCATTGAAAGCTAGAGAGAATTAAAAAAAGTATAAAGAGCCCTCTTTGCTTAAATTTTGTCGAAGTACCCAACAAAAGGCGGAAGCTTTAATTTTTCACCTATATATATAAAATTTGATAATATTACTTACCAGAAAACCCAGATAAATGTGAATCTACAGAATTGTCTTCATGTAAGTTTGCTGGATCACCTTGGGTATCCAATGGTTCAAATGGAGGGCTCTCATCTTCTTCAGTTTTTAAAGCAGTTAATGTTGAATTATCAGCAGTATCTACTTCAGTTCCACTTTTTACCGATTCTGGTGAGATAGCTTCAAGATCAGTGGGAAGTAAGTCAGCAATATCCACCTAACAAGATTCATCCACGATAAATGTCAAAAACTCCTGAGTCTCCATGGCCAGTATAACAAGCAACACCAACGTATATATTCGAATAGAAATAGAATTAAGATGACTAGATTTGGGCTTATTGTATTATTTTTGCTGCACCCGATTTTTCTTACTGGATGAAACTCCATTTTCAATATGAAAACGAGGGCAATAAAGTTTTACCCAACATAGTTGCAGATATAGCAAATAAATAGTCGTTTCAGACACTATATTGATATTGTTATTAACGTTACAAAATGCATTTTTCTCGTATTTTCTCGCTCATAGAACATAGTCCATTTTAATGGAAAATTAAGTAGTAGTGCATTGGAAAACCTTCAACATGGCGGTTAAAATCAGGAAATACATTGACATGCTCAGAAATCCACCAAGGACTGTTGATATTCACCTATTATTAGGTACGCAATAAAAGTTAGAAAAGTCAGTGAGCAAATGTAGTTATCTCCAGTATGTATGCTGCTCAAGATTGGTTAAAAATTTAAATTTGTAAATGTTTATCCTATACATCTTTTTTGTAACAGTATCTTTCTGTATAACAATAAAGCTAAAATGTTTTATTTAATTCACCACAAAAAGAAAGAGTTATGCTATTACATGCCAAAAAAATAATTCATACAATGAAATCAGAATATGTATTTTAATTTTATAAACTCATCAAAAAATTAAACAGAAAAAGGTTTTCCATTAATATACAATTTCCAAAACAAATACTAACAGAACTACCACCGCCTGGTACCCCAATTATAGTTAAAAAAGTGGCGTCGGGTGCATATCATTGTATTGAGGGATATAAGCTAATACTAAAACCTGTCCGCAGTGGCATTAAAAGTTGAATTTGTGATACTTATCATAACGTCGAAGATGGAGCACTCGCTGCAGCAACAATACGCAATCAAATTTGCATTTGCCTAGGCAAATGTACGCTTTGATAACTGAGGCTTACATAGAATGCGGCTCTTCAAGAGGCCACGTGTTCCAGTGGTCCAATGGCTTTAAAAACGATAATGAAGGCCTGAAATGATCTTAACACCCTTCAACGAATTGTGCAAAGGAACCGTGGTCAAAGCAAAAAATATCCTGGTCGCCGACTGTCCTATATATCTGCAAATGATCGCCAGGTGAAAGCAGAATTTGATTAAGTATCGCTGGCCTAATAATCCATTTTAGCCGTTTTTGCATGTGTCATCTTTGCCATTTTCACAAATGTCGCGAATTGGCAATCAAGTTTTATTCGGAGCTCCAATCTCCAGACCTTCGATGCAACTGCGCATTGTTAGCTTAAATCGTAAACGAAATCGTATCATGTAAGTCGGTAACTATTTTTTTATAACAAGCTGCCGCGTAGCTAAATACCGGAGCACCGGAGCTGCTATATGAAGCCTGACGACAATGTGTTAATCAATCCGTCTGGCCAGCAACCAGAACGACCGACTGCTATTGCGCTGCGACATTACCCTGTGCCTAATTTTTGTGTCGTCCTGATCTTTGGCTCTTTGGCATTGCGAACCACTACGTCTTATTTATTTCTAGACTCAACGTCGGCTTGTCTGTTCTCTACAGTGGTGTTTTCTAAGAAGGTTCTGCGTGCCTTGATGTTCTACCGACGAGCAGTGACGCACGATTACTTGAACCAGTCATTAGACTCTGGTTTAGATACTTTCACTGTCTGAGGGATGTATTCCTCCATCCCAAGGTGGATAATGTCAGTTATTGATGAACAGACAGCCGAAGCATACGAGTCAGATAAGAAGCAAATATCTTTCAAAGGAAAGGTGGTGAAAATAGTATCTAGTCCTTTCCATTCAGCATGTCCGTAATGCCAAATGTTGAGACCTGGGCAGGTTTCTGCTGCCACGGCAGGTTCTGACTTAAACCTGACCTCGACCACACCGTGGTCTAAGTTACCAAGGGGAGGCAAGACAGCAGTGCTGTAAGGGATAGGGTGCGTGATCAAAAAAAGATCCAGTAGACTACTGGCGAGTGACGAAACGCGGGAGAAAAATTAGGACTCGTCAACAGGTTAGTCAGTGCTTGACTAATGTCGAATGCTTCAACAGCGCGGCTCGCTGCGTCAGTCTTGTTTAATCCCAAAAATTCATTATGGGGTTTGAAGTCACCGACGATAACTACTTCTAAGGCGTGTTGAATGGTGTTCAAGAAGTCGATCTTGAGAGCGAAGTATTCAAGTGAACATACCAGTTATAATCCGAGGTAGAGCGATAGCGGCAGCAAATAAATATGGGGGATGGTTTGGAGTTAAGCTGAAGACGCAGAATGTTCTTATTTCAAAGGGACGTCTCATGAGCAAGATACTGTTGCGGACAAAAGCTACAACTCCTCCGTCCATCCTTAAATTGGAGTGCACTACTTAGTTCAGGAAATTAACATGGTTCTTTGGAGCAGAATCGGAGATTTTGATCTCCACCCAGAGAAACATGATGGATCGATTCGAATGCAGATAGTGGTGAACAGCACCCATGTTGCTGTTAATCCCGCAGATATTCGTGAAGGAGATATCTTCATAGATGTCTTCCCTCGAGTCCACCCTCCACCCGGACACTTCGAAAGTGGCCGAGTTTACGTCTGGAATTTTTAGTACTCGTAGGAGTCATCATTTTTTGCTGAGAAGTGGAAAAGGAAAATCGAAAAAAAAAATGAGAGCATGGCTCAGATTTGGAAACATTCGGACATTTTTAAATCACCATGGAACATGCTAGCGGGTGGTACCGCCTCGGTCGACTGCTCCGTGTCTATCACCTTCTTGTTGTTTGTTTCCTAAAGTGATCCGTTGGCGGACTTGTGCCAGCACCCGGCAATCGGTAATGAGGTATTCCTTGACGCGTACGCAGTTACGAAAGAAATCACAACCTTCAATTGATAAGTTATCAATCAGGTTCAGCTGAAGACGATTGAACATAACTTATCAAACGAAACGTGATCTCAAAATTGTATAGACAAATCCAAAATAAAACTCCTGAAACATCCCCGCTGACTACACATTATAAACAGCATTTGCCATGGTCAGTAGGGGTAGCAGTATTATCCAAATAGGAACGTTTCGCAAATACCTTACAACTATGTAATTGAAAAAATAATTCTACCTTCGGTGCAGGTTTTGTTTCCTCTGTCTTTACATCAGTCCTGACTGGTTTTTGAAGACCCAGAAAACGGTAAACAACCTCCTCTACTTGTGGCAGAAATACTGTATTTATTTTGGGGTTTACCACTTGATCTACGATGCGCTCTACCCCCATGTCCAAATAGCCGGACCTATAAGTATAAAACATGATTGAAAATATGAAACTCAGTAACATTTAGATATTATAACTATTTGGCAACAACTATGCGAAAAAAATTCTTATTTTGGAAGATATATCCAAATATATAAAAAACATGAAATACTGAATTAAAAAAAAATATCTTAATCTGTCAAGTTTGTTAAATGGAATATTCTGTATGTTACTGAATATTCAGACTGATTGTTCAAAAAGAAGACGATTGATTTTGATGAACAATAATTATTGGGTTATAAACGATTCAATGTCCCAAAAAAGCTCAAATATGAGAGCCTGCTAGTCCTCCAGTTTAAAAGATAGTAAAGCATATTCTAGTGTTATAAAGTATTGATTAGAAGCTTCAAAATAAGGTATCACAGGAGTTATGTTTAGTTGACGCCCAGCCATCACGTTGAAATGATAATGCACCAATATCAACACCTCGAATTTCAGCAAGCTAGCTTGACGTTTTCAAGTTTTGTCCCGCCGCCACTGAAAAATTTCTCGTCGATATGAGGGTTCTACAACTTACAACTATACTTCTCACTGTGTATGACTTGGCAATGGTGTGCGATTCAAGTTTATCTTTTGTGACAGCTGCGCTTAAGTTAGGAAAGTTAAACTCCGCTCATGGTACAGTACAGGTTTTATAGTTATAGTGATGCGACAACTCAAAGTCATGCCTCATAAATGCCATTATAAATAACATAACTCTTAATTGGTTAAGGTAAAAGAGAAAAATATAGCTTGTTTGATTTTTAAAACTTGGCACGTACAGCATTTCGAAAATAGGTTAGGTGGTACATTTAAGTAGGTCTTAAATAATTAATATTTGTTTTATTAGACCAAAAAAGTGATTCTATATTTTTCTCTAAAAGACCGTAAATTTCAAATTTAAAAACTTTTTTTCCTTAAACAGGCGAAAACGCCGTCCGCCATGTTTGGCCCATAGGTGTATATTAAAGTGATCTGACGTCATACCATTTGTTGACAGCGGCTTAACTCTCAAACTTTTGCAAATAAATATAAATTCTACTAGTTTACATTAAAAATATAATAATTATCGTTATTGTACCGTCCGAGTATCTAAAAATACATCGATAAAGACCCCTAGAAAGCTGTGGATTAGGGTGTCCAGGGGAAATATACACAACGTGGTGTATTGCCTGGAACATACCTTAAGTGTATCACTTATTCTTTCTTTTTATGTCTATCACTATATCAGATGCGTAGTACTTACATATAGTTTATTCAATGAATCAAAGCAGTTACGTCACAACGTCAAATAATGACAGTGACTTACATGGTTGCCACATTAATTAAACCTACTAGATCCTAGGACGTTTCACAAAATCTACTTTATGTCGTCGATGCCTTACCCAACATTACGGAGTATGTTTTGTAAACACTAGAGGTAGTATTTACTACCTAATAACCTCTCTTACAGACTGTAAAGGCAATAATGGAGATCCATGATCTCGTTCGGTCTCAAAATATTTCGTCAAAGAAATGACGAATTCTTTTGCATGTCGACCCAGACGTTTCGGCATTTTAGCAAAATGCTTAAAGTGCTTAAAAGAGTTGCATTTTGCCAATGGCTTCTAGAACAGTTCGGCAGAAATGAGGATTTTACGAAATTAATTTTGTATACCGACGAGGCCACATTTACACGACATCGAGTGCACAATTTCCACAACAATCCTGTCTGGGTAGTAGAAAATCCGCATGCTGTAAAAAGAACACATTTTCAACATAGATTTTCATTAAATGTTTGGGCTCGCGTGGTAAAGGACAAGCTTATTGTATCCTACTTTTTTCCACCTCGACTGACCGGTGAAATTTATTTAGATTTTCTTCGACACATCTAAATGTGAGACAGAATAATACACGATGGGGCTTTACCACACTTTAGACGAGAAGTTCATGAACATCTAAATAGTAAGTTTCCGAATAGATGGATAAGGCGCAATGGACCCATTTCTTGGCCTACTCGCTCCCCGGATTAACGCCTTGCGATTTTTTTTTGTCGGGCTATTTGAAAGAGTTGGTGTATCATGATGGAGCAGTAATTACTCTCTTATTATGCAACTTTTATATAGGTCATTTTTGGTATATCAACTAGAAGCTGTTAAAATAAATGACTCAACTTTGAAAACAAAGAAGACAACGTTTATCCACGAGTGTCATCCTGATGACGTTTCCTTGTTTAGAATTTTAAAAATTGAAATGTATTTCGTTTTTCTAGACCAAATACTGTGAGAAATACTTATTGTAAGGTATGTGTGCTTAACCTGATAGCAGGACTGCTGGTGGTCCAAAGCACGAATTAAAGTGAGAAAAGTGAAGTTTTCAAAAAAAAGTGGTGAGAAAATAGTGAGAAGTAGTGAATTAATTTTCCGAGAAATTGAAATCATAATGCCCAATTTAAACGGACTATATAAATTAACAGTTGTAAAAAAACGAGAATAACTCGTATAGGGTCTTTGTTACTGTTATATTGCCGTAAGCAAAAATAATTAAATTTATGCATATTTTACAATTAAATAAAAAACAAAAAATATATGAAATTCTTTTAAATTCGGGAGACGTACTACTACTACGTTCCTCATTGCCGTTTCCATGTTCGGATCAGCGTCCCTAGACCGGCTGCCTTCGCCAGGCTACCCCTTGACAGCCGCCCACCTTCGAAAAAATACTGTCAAAATCCTCTCGCAATTTTGATCAACCATCCCGGTGAGGCCATAACTACTTATACCGGTAGTCATCGGTCGCCATTTACTCGTCAGTTATATAATAACGGCATGCACCACCGAGAAGCTGAGGTTGACAGTTGTATACGAGGCTATATCTTGCGCGTCAATACACTTTTCACCCCGATCTGGCAACACTGGAGGCGCCGGGCTGCGTGGCTTCAGAAGGAAGTTGTTTTGAGAGTGACAATATAAAATTGTAATTATATTTGAATGAAAAAATTAAAAAACTCAATCTCATCACTTAATTTACAAACCACGTAGATGGTTCTCAGAGATATAGATCCTGCTATAATTCTGAGCCTGAACCTAGCAGGCTGTTAGAAACTGGCTGCTAACTTCACAGCGGTTAATTCTGACGTGTGTAAAAACTAATTTATTAGCTGTGAAGGAAATATAAAAGGGAAAAACTATTGGCTTGTTCGTTCAGTAGTCGGTAACCTGTCGGTGACTCTCAAAATCAGAATCAGAGAGATGTTACCTGTTCGTACAGTTTCTGACTGTTTGCCGACGGCTAGTCCGCTGTTCGTACAGAACCTTATGACAGGTCAGAGAACGCCGTCAATAAGTGACAGTGTCAGAGTGTGTCGAAACTAGCTTGAGGACTAATATTGCTTCGCAAGAGGCATTTACTGACCAATGACTTTTCTCTAACGGACAGTCTATGGACACTTTCGCACAGGTGGGCCGTCGGCGCTCTAGCTCTCTTCTATCACTAAGCTAAAGGCTTTGCTCCTCAGATCTCTCCTCGATGATGCCGCCGTGCCACCATCCTTAAGGTGTCGAATTTCCTACATCGAAAACTTCCAGATACTACCGCTCCTTTGTCCCTAGTATATCGAGAATGTGGGGAAAGTTTCTTTAAGCCCTTCACAGCAGCCTCGCTACCCTGGCTTTTAGGCTTTGCCTGCGCGGCCGCTTCGGAGTAAAAAAACTATGAGCTATATACCAAGCAGCGAATACTCTGAAATGTCCGAGTTTTCTTCGAAAGATGGAGACTTTGGAGATCTACTGGAAGAGAAAATGAAACCCAATGCCACAATGCAACAGAAACGAGGTTTTGTAACATTTTCGAGTGAGCAAGACAGTCGCAGAAAAAAAATTAGTGAAATTCCGTGGTAGTAACTATTTTAAATATCAGCCAGCGCCATACGGAATGCTAACTCCTTATAAAGAAACCTGTATATTTTTATGGTTTTTCAAATAGCCATAGGTGATAGGTTTAATGTTGCCGTGAGTACACTGCATGCAGTTATATCCTTATTGACCAACTTTTTGAGTAGTCTGGCACCGGAAATCATAAAATGGCCAATAGAAGAAGGAAGATATAGCAGTATTTCTACAATAAAAAATAGATTTCCTGAAATCGTTGGCATCATTGATGGAACCCATATATAGATTGAAAAATCGATAAGATGTATCAATAGAAAAGGATTGCTACTCTATACAGGTTGGTGTAATTATGGGTATGTACCTATGCATCAAGTAAAGTTACAATTTCTGAATGTATACAGTTTACCTAGAATTAACTTAAAATAACTCTTGTATTTAGCTTCGATCATAAGTAATAATTCCTTCGATACGCTAGTTTTCATACATCATGAAAATACGATTACGTGTGGTGCCAATTAGATACATACCCCTTGTTACCCACTCTCTTAATTCCATTCCAAGACCGTGGCCAGTTATCACCCAGACAACTAAACTATAACAGAGAACATTCTTCAAATCAGATTATGGTAGAGAACTGCAATGGCCGTTTGAAGCAACACATGTAGGCAACTCTGCCACGTGAAGAAGCATTAGATAGACAGTGCACTTCATACAAGCGTCCTGCGTTTTACACAACTCAGAATTCATCCATCAGACCTAAATGATGCGGCATAGAGTGGTGATGGCGTTCAAAAGAAGAACTGTATTGTTGAGCTGTTAAGTTAATCATATGGATATTCGGCTATACGTTGTCACCACCGTTGTCAAGTTTTTTAGATGACTAGGTATAAGGTCTAATATAAAGTTATCTGTTTAATAAGTTTCCTGATTGCAAGCTTACATTGTCTATGGCGTTCGAAAAACTGTTTGATCGCAATAAAAGTACACATAATGTGAAAAAGCATCTATATCTCCGAATTAAAAAAAAAATAATAGAAAAAAAGGAGCTTCGTGGATTCGAACTCCGTCCTGCGGTTCTGCAATCATCAACCTTTCCCATTACACTATGACACCTCTTGGCTTACTGAATCCTTATATCACTATACTTGACACTGAAAAATGTCAAGCGAATGTCGGAGGCATATCAGATATGTTATATACAATTACAGTACTCTTGAAAATTGGACAAGATTCAATGCTGAATCGTTAAATAATGTATTAGGGATTAATCACGAGTATTTTGCCTAATTTTTAAGACGCTCAGTTCGCTACAATTGGTTGTTATTTGTCTACTGTTTTTTCGTTTTCTTGAGTTTATTTTCCAACATTTTAAACTAGCAATCGTTTTAGTCGAACGAGATTTCGAAAACAGACGTATACCATATTAACCCAGATATGCCTACAGCTCAGCTCAAATAAATTACAATAAAGTATGTTCTCTGCAAATTCATTCTATATGAAGCATATATTAAACAAATTTATTATTTTTTAAATTTTATTTTAGGAAAAAGTGTATAAAAATGCCGTACAAAATATGGTACACTAGGCACATAGGCGAACATTAAGGTTTAGTATGGAAGGACAAAAAACATTTTACATGCAGCCCTACATTGCAGTTAGAGCACCTTGTTTTTGCTCTATCACGACATAAGCCACATCTAGTTGGCTTTTCTTGTGGTATCACAAAATGATCTAAACGATCACAACGAATATCTATATATTCATTAGCCGAAGGACGTCCTCTAAAAAAGGATGGCGGTTTCTTGTTTTGTTGTAACAAGGCTGTGGCAAGCCGCCGTCTAAATAATAATTGATCCAATGTCCTCCGTGCGATCTATAAAGTTGCCAGGAATTATGAACAGCCATACCAATACAGTGGCTGATCAATGAAAAATACCACTTTTTACCCCGGATGGAAATGCGATACAGACCAATATTTTGATCACAACGATCAACGCCGCCCATATTTGCGTTGTATACATTTACAATATGAGGCTGTTCTACCTAAAATCAAAAGCATTTTTGAAAACATTGATTTTCTTGCAGATTGTGTTTCTTACCTGAATACTTTTTTTATCCTTTTGAGAGTATCGCTTTACAATGAGAATTGGTTGCAATCCTGCGGCATTTGAACAGAGTGTTACTAAATTATTGTCATGTCATTTTACTGCAATTATGTTTGTATCGGAAATTTTGTTGTAATCGTAACCACCTCTTTTTTCCCTTTTCATAATTTTAGAATCTCTGAATGGACGCCTTGTAAACGATTTTCTCTAGCAGTACCAGTCGCAAAGACATTTTTTTCTGTCAATTTTACCATAAGAGGGAGAGAAGTGAAAAAATTGTCGAAAAACTAAATTGAATTTTTCATTTGGCCATTTTCTCCTCAGTGCATCAGAATACTCTAATACCACACCAGCACCAACCCAAAAATCTGCATAACTCTTACTAATGTTGGTTGACGACCCTTGGTAAGGTTCAACCCAGTAAACGTAGCCTAGTCTTGATGCGCCAACCCATAATTTATAGCCGTATCGTATAGGTTTTCCGTGAATGAACTGTTTGCATGAGTGTCTCCCAAAATAAGGAATCATTTCTGTCAAAATTCCATATTCCATAAATTTTTGATTCAGGCTTGCAAATAAAGGTCTAACTTTTGCAAACTTATCTCATTGCTGTAAATTGTAGTTATCTGCTAAATGGAAATTTGACATAATATACTCAAATTTATCTCGTGTAAGCGCTTCTGTGACGAGTTGATTACTATCATCTCTTTCCCGTTCCCAGAACATTCCTCTACGTGGTACATCGACATAACCACTCGATATTAGTGTTCCAATAAATGCCCTTATTTCATACTCTTGCACCTCTTGTTGGCGATTGTTTTGCCTAGCATATCTATTTGTTTCAGTTGTTATGCGTGTTGTAAGTTCGCCGTCAAAAAAAAAAGTGAAAACCATTCAAGTGGAGTCTTAGAAGAATTATTTTGTTCAAGAATCTCTTCGAAGTTTCCTGGAACTTCTTGTGGTAGATCCTCCTTCACCCATTTGTACGTTTTTCGTTTCTTTAGCTATTTATTTTTTATTTTTTTAGCCAATTCAGACAATCGAATATTATCTTCGGAATCAGATGCAGATATACTAAATTTTTCATGAGGTATGTTTATCTCAGCAGGTGCTTGTAATTGTGAACCCGGTAGATTATCAGCTGACATTACATTCTCATCGCCGGAGTCCTCGTCTGTGAGAATGTCACAAGCATTGATTGGAGGCATCAAGGTGATATTATCCACATTTGCTACTACATCTTCATTATCCTCCAGCGTAGCAAGGGCTTCCTCCAAAGAAAAGCCCCTAAAAATGAAACAGGCATGTATTTTCCTGGCGCACAATATTTTGCACACTCAAATATAATGACGCAATTGTGAATCCGAAATAATAACATAAGTAATTTGGCATTATAACTGGAAAAAAGCATGTGTTTTATTGGTAGAAGCAATAAAAAAAATTTTTTTTAGTTACATAAAGACCATATATTTACTTACTTGGCAAATCGTATTCCACATTCAGCCATGTAACAAAAAATAAAAACTTCTTCACAAAATCGCAAAAACGATAACACCCAACCGCACGTTACGTTTACTAAGGCTTACTGAATACATCTGTGCTATTACCGCATCAAAATAAGCACAGGTCGTTGCAAGTCGCGACTTGTTTACGGTGTACCATAAATTGTACGCTAGGCATATCTGGGTTAATACTTTTAGAGAAAAAGTCTAGGGAATTATATTTCCTCGTAAAGAAACTAGATTACGTGACCTACTTATTTGACAAAATCATGCAGTCATACTACATACTAACTAGTCTACGACAGTTTGAAACATAATTGTGTCTTCAGTCTGCGTGCTAACCTTATAAACAGTTCACCGCATTTCAGTATGGAATATTCTTCTTTATGGGTCATTCCACAAAAATAGTACCACTCATTGTCCGCGACACATTTCACATAGTATCATTAGAAATACTTTGTCCCAAAATTGTTAATTAACATCTCGCAATGTGTTTTATTCATTACCCATATATTTAGAAATAAATATATTTAAAATAAATCTAAAATCTCTCATAAAGACCCCAAAATATCAGTCCCTAGGCATGTCCGCACTCCAAAAGATTATATTTGGGTACCCATATTTATAGATACATCAACTATATACTTTATTTGATTTAACAATTATCTAGTTTATTCTACATACACAAAACTCTATTAATATTTTGTAGTTTCAATAAAAAATAATTCGATTTTCTGAAGTTGAAAAGTGTCCTCGATTTTATCCGTCATTCCCTAGTCACGCCAAGATTTACAAATTTCGCGCCATAATATCAATGAAGAGTGAATGACATCTAGTGGATTTAAAAGTACGACGCGAAGTTATCCATAGACCATGCTCGCTGAGCGGCAGCCATTTTGTGATTCAGTGCAAACGCGACAGTTGTTGCGGAAACATGTGTTGATCCAGTCACTTTGTCATTCCCTAGGTGAGTAGTTTTATTGTTTATAATAGGAAACTGATGATAATTAAATAATATTTACGTGTGATTTGTTGGTCTTCTTTGGTACATATTAAACAGCTTTTATTAGAAGTTAACCTGCATTTGTCTCAAGTTTTACTCCAAATCGTCAGTCCCTGGACCATCAGGCCCTAGCTCTTAATTGTGCTAGGGACTGACGGATATAGCTAGGGAATGACGTTTCGATATATTGTGATATTAACAAAATATCTAAATGTAGGTTATAAGTGAAACGACCTAGAAACTTTATGGAATGATATTAGGGGATGAAAAAGTCATTTAGGGTTTGTGTTATTTATGTAAAAATATTTAATAAAATGCAAAATACGAGTACTACATTTGACGATTAGCTTTTTTATTTTGAGTTTAAAAACTGGTAAGTTATAGACTTATAATAAGTTGTTTGCGGTCGTTCGTCACAATATCTAAGCATTAAGTGTTATTTTTCCATTTTGCAGAAAAATGTCACCTAAAAAGAAGCCAAAATTGTCCAAAGAGGAAATAGCCAGTAAAAAATCAGCCGCCGCAAAAGCTCGATTGGAGAAAATCAAAAGCGATCCAGTTCTGTTGGCAGAATATAAAGAGAAAGAAAGAGTGAAATATTTAAGAAAGAAAGAGAAGGGACAACGTAAGTCTATTCAGGATATGACCCCACGCGAGCAGAGAAACATTCGAAAACAATGGAAGAAGTATTCAACTAATTACAGAAAGAAGAAAACAATTAGAAAAGATTGTGAAAATTATGTTGTTCAGAATACGCCACCTACATCTGAAAATGAATCATCTGAAGAAAATGTAGATCCAGAACCGCAGATCAATAATAACAATAACGAAAACTCTAGACAAGTGGAAGCTAAAAGAAGAAGCCGATATCAACGGAAGATAAGAAATAAAGTGTTACAGGAAAAATGTGCGATTATTGATGATTTAAAAAAGAAACTTAATACTCAACAAAAGAAATACAATAGGCTGAAACAAAAAATTGAGAAATCGAAGAAATTACTCACACCTAAAAGTAAAATAGAACAAATGGCAGAAGATCCTAATCAAAGTAGAGAACTGGTCAAAAAGGCTTTATTTGGCGAAGTTTTGCAAGCTCAAATTACAGAAAATATTTCGAAAGTTCAAACTCATCAAGAAAAATCCAACTTTAAACAGCTTTTGGCTGGTCCCACAGTAGAAAAATATAAACTTTGGCGACAAAGTTGTAGCTCTATATTGTATAACAAGATTCGGCGCAAAAGTTTTAAAAATAAGGATAAAACTAAGAAAAACTTAGTAGTCCAAATGGTTCACAGATTTTATGAAGACGACAGTAATAGTCGCGCTGCAGCAGGAAAAAAGGAGTGTATTACTCGCAATAAAAACAAAAAACAGAAACGCTATTTGCTAGACTCATTAAAAAATTTATACCAAAAGTTTCTTCAAACAAAAACATTGACAATTGGCTATTCACTGTTTTGTAGATTACGTCCATTTTGGGTCGTTTCCCCTAAAATAACAGATCGCGATACTTGTGCCTGCATTATACATGAAAATATGAATCTAAAATTATCTGCTTTAAAAAAATCTAAGATTCTTGGCTTCGACAATTATCAAACTGGATTACAGATACTTTGTTGCAATCGTTATTCTGAAAAATGTTTGTTGAGACAGTGCAAATTCTGCTCTACTAAAGTGTTACCATATGCTGAATTCGATAACAGCAAAGATATTTTGGTAGATCAGTGGACACATGGAAAAGTATTGATTACAGATTCTAAAACAAAAAAAGAGCGTTCAATTTCAAAGTATAAAAAAGAGACAAAGAATATGGTGCCTCGCAATTTAATTATACAAGTGGAAAATGATCTGCAAAAATTTTTCCAACATGAAGTTAACATTGTTCACCAGTAAAATACTTTAAAATCTCTCAAACAGTCATTGACGGAAAGGGACGCAGTAATACATATGGACTTCTCTGAAAATTTTAGTACAAAATATAACCAGGAAATTCAAGCTTATCATTTTGGGGGTTCCCGCTCTCAAATTTCTATGCACACTGTCGTTGTCTATACAAAAGATTCAACTTTTTCTCATTGCACTGTCTCTTTAAATTTAGCTCACAATGTTGCAGCTATTTGGGCCCATTTACAACCAGTGCTCGCGTCTTTGCCTCTTACCGTAGAAAATCTGCACTTTTTGAGTGACGGGCCCGTAACTCAATATAGAAATAAAGCAATGTTTTTCATACTGGCTTGTAAACTTGTAGATTTTCATCCAAATGTAATGACTTTTTCATGGAACTACCTTGAAGCAGGTCACGGGAAAGGAGCCCCAGATGGTGTGGGTGCAACTTGTAAGCGAACTGCACAAAAGGCCAATATAACAAATGTATGTACTTTTGCTGCCACTTTACGTGAAAACTGCCCCGGAATAAAAATTTCGGTTATTGAAGATTCTGATATTGACACGGTTCATAAACTGATCAGAGAGAATGAAAATAACCTACAAGCCTTCAAAGGTACACTTCTAGTTCATCAAGTTACGGGTCACGCGTATTTTCCAAATAAACTTATTATGAAATCATTGAGCTGTTTCTGTAGCCCAACTTGCAATCATCATAAATTAGGAATTCTGGAATACACCAACCAATCCAAACATCTCAAAGTAGTTGAAGTTTATAGTACAGATTCTGAAGAATATATTCCTCTACAAAAGCAACGTAAAAGCGGAACTATAGAACAAGCAGGCATAAGTATGAATTTAAAAGATAAAATGAAAGTGACCTATTACAGTGGCGATTACGTTTTAATAAAATTTATGGTGAATAAGAAAGAGTACCGGTACGCTGCAATTTGTTCATATTACGATGACGAAGAAGGAGAATTGACTGTTACATTTCTCAAGGTATGTAATAAAGAAGGAAACTTATTTAAATTAGATGAAGGTGATGTTGCTGACATACTTTATGAAGATGTGATTGAAAAACTGTCAATGCCCTGTTTGATTGTCAAAGGTGATAGAGTGTTTTACGATTTTAAAAAGGCTATAAATGTTTTTGAAAAGTGAGATTATTTTATTCAGATATTGTTAAGTCTTCTTTGTTACTAAATAATGATATAGAGAAACTGATAAGAACAAATACTAAGACTGAATATCATAACTCTTAAAGATTTTGTTTGCCTTTGATTATTTAGGATGTTGATTTTGTTTATTTTAGGCTAAGGCTTTTTGTTTTTACTTTCATGCTGTTACGTAACAAAGTATTTAAAAATATTATAATCTACCTCAGTTACTTTAGTAGTAAAAACTTTAGCTTGTCAAAGAATTTGACTTTATGTGTCTATAATGACTGATTATTATTAAAAAAAGTATTACTAATTGTTATTTTTAAAATACATAGTTTAGGTAGTTGATTGTGGTTGTCTAAGTACCCAATAACCAAAGAAGTGACACACTTAGAAAATAGCTAAAGATTCTACAATAATTTCATTGGAAGAATTCTATTATTTTATTATTATTTTGGTTAAGAAATGTTAACAACCTATGTTTTTTGTCTTACGTGATTATGTTCCAAATATTTTAAAAATAAATATATTCCAGAAATGCATAGCAAACTTATTTTACTACAATATCATTATTGTTTATCAGTCCCTAACAATACCTATCAGTCCCTAGATGCCCAATAATCAGTCCCTAACCAGAGCTGTCAGTCCCTAGATGCCTAAGTTTGAGAAACTCTAAATTTCTCCCAAAATAAAGCATAAAATGACCGGCCCTTTTAGATATCAGATAGTCAATCAATTACACTTAATATACACTACCCAAGTATCCAAAAGCATCATAAAAAGGTTTAGGACAAAACAACATCAAAATTATCCCCATTTTTGTGGAATGACCCATACACAAGAGTATGAAGAAATCTTGAAAAAAATTGTTTTATTCGTAACGAAAGGTGATAGATACATCCGCTTTGTTTTAAAATGTGTATAATAGGGTATGTTTTTAGAATATCGTAGCGAATCGTTCAGTTACTCACGTAAATTAAATGTTTGAATTTGTTTGTAAGAAAAAACGTAACCATTCGTTTTTCGCATAAAAATAACAATTATCTTTGGGAGTAGTTTGTAATTCACGTCGGCAAGATAAATTCGTGTATTTTGGTATAAAATACCCTTTGAACGAACTCTGTATTTCTGACAATTATTTCGTGGAAATTTGCTAATATGATTAGACTATTTTATTCACCCTTTAAAAACGTTATTAAGTCCTTTAGTATTCTTAATTCTTTCTTCCAGTAAGAATCTGCACATATAGGGAAATATCTTTGTATTTATATATACGAAAATGTTCAAATTTGACCGCCTGGCAGTCCGCCATTTTCAAAGGCAGTTTCTAAATAAAAGAGCTGTTAGCAAGTACAAAATGAATGTGTAACCTACAAAAAAACAAAATAAAATACGGTTCTGACTACCTGACGTTGACGGATCCGTCAGGATTATGTGTCCTGAGGGGATATGGGGAATTTTGAGATACAACTAGATAATCAGCTGTCATACTACTGTGATGGATACTTATGAAATAGGGTATATACAGTCAATGACGTGTCAGTGACAGCTAACTGAATAAACTGGGTCATGTTGCCGACTAGCAGTTTGCTGATTGAGAGCCAACATATGTAACAAATTACAGATAAAAAGTTAGTGTATGTTTAAACTCCTAGTAGATTATATTGACACCAATGTGGGCTCGTTTAAACGGTCATTTAGCAATCATAACCCCAAAAAAGTATGACATACTTTCTAAGACTTTGAATGGAATGAGGCCTAGTAAACACGATTATCAATATTTTATGGTTATATTGTTAATCCAATATATAGCAAAATCTCTGAAATGTGTGTATAAGCCTAAATGATTTTTCGAGCACTTGTTCTGGTACCTCTAGTTCAGAATGATACACCCTTATTTTCAGAATTTTTAAGTTACAGCCAGAACTGGAAGACATTCGAATGGTAAATTACAACAGTACATAACAAATACATATTGACACATAGGTATGGTGGAAAATTAAGTATGCTTTTTTCGAAGTTATTTAGCTGGAACTTTGCGAATTAAAATATCTACATTTAAATCTACAGATTTATTTAATGTCACACTTCTGTAGGTCATGCAAATAGAGCTACCGCATTCAGGCATAAAATATAATGCTAACGGAACTGATACATTTTACATGTGCAGAAAAGGTACAAAGTTGCACAAAATGTGCAAAGCTTTTCATAAATGACAAAATTAGAGGTTACCCATATGCAAACTGGTCAGTCTTTGAACAACCTCTTAGAAGTGCTTGGGTCTTGGAACAGCAGACATTTTAGAGATTTACGGTCACTTTATGATTTTGCCAAATTGTGCGGACTAGAACCTTCAAGATCCTGCTAAAAAGTATACTCATATCAAATTCCATAACTACATAGTTAAAGACGGCTATAATTTTGGTAACTAAAGCCCGCTTGCTCAACTTCCAGCCCTAATTCTTTTTTTCCGTAATAACCCTGCTTGGAAATATTCTTCCAGAAGCCTAGGGAACATGCCAAACAGGGGTGCATTTGTAAATCACTTGGTAATGTAATAAGAGCCTACACAGTAATGGACAGTAGTTTAACAGATAAAATTTTACTCTGGAATACTGTGTAACTTCACTTTTCTAACGACTAAATTGTTAAATTACTTATTATTCATTCCTTATGGTAGAAGGTTTATATACCTCCTGTTCGGACCACCGGCGCTCCCACGGGGGGGGTAATTACCCCCCCCCCCCCCCGGACGACTCGAGCAGTCTTTAAAAAGGTGCTATAAAGTAAACGTCTTATAAAAAAATCTGTAACTTTAAGAAAGGATAGCAGCAACAACCCGCTCAGTGCGCATGCGACTAGCGACTACTCTCCCACCAACAGCAACTGTGTGGGCTTCTTCCTGTTGGAACAGGTATAGTCTAGTCTTTTATGGTCTAGTCTAGTATCTAAATTCTGTACCAGTCCGGAGTCCGCAACAAAATTTGGCTGAGAAGTGAACAAGCGGTGTTTTGTTGATCTGGTTGGTATCAACGCCAGTAAATTAATTTTTGGTTGTTTTTAATTTTTATACTATAAAATAATCGTGTCTAAAAAAGTGACAGACGGAAAAATGGAAATTTAATATAATTTCAATTATCTACGAAGTGTTTGGTCCATACTCCAGCTATCATTATCATCTATGTCTATTTTGTCTCGGAAGTCCCTGTATATAAGCACTTCAGTGCATTTCGTTCGTCCGAGATGGCAAATTATATATTTAGTTTTTGAAAATTGCGTGAACATAAGAAATCTTGTTTTCCAAACAGAAAAGGTTATTAGATACGTGAATGCGTGGAAACCAATAATGCCGTTTATTTGACAATATTTGTGTAACTTTTAGTGCTGGTTGACGGCTGCTGTTGCCAGGATCAGTAAAAGGAAACAGAATACCATCGATTGGTTCCTTTCTAAACAAAACAAACTGTCTGATCCACCAGCACAAGAATTACCGGAAAAAACTGATAATCCTACAATTCAACCTAAGTTTTCCACTTCAAAATTTCTTGATGTTGCACGGTATACTGAACCAAGTATTCCACAATCGGGTGCGAAACCTAAAGGATCCAATTTTGTTGATGTTGCGCCATATGTAAATTTCAGCGACAACTTGTCTTCCCATGAAAAATATACCTTATTGAGGTGTGCAATGATCCCTAATGACTCTTTCAAATATCCCTATTCCACACACTTGGACAATAATCAAGAAGTGAAATGTTACTTATCAAAAAACCACTTTGAGAAATTTCCTTGGCTGTCATATTCAGAGGAAGGGCTTTTCTGTAAATATTGCGTGATTTTTTCAAAATTAGGAGTACATAAATCAACTAAATTGAGAAAACTTGTTACCGTACCACTAAAGAAATTTTCGAAATTGTATGGCAAAACCGGTGATTGCGAGACACATGAGAACGTAATATATCATACAGAAGCAGTTTCCGATGCTACCAACTTTTTAAAGATTCACGAAAATTCAGAGAATGATATAAGAAATATATTCATAGCGAATTAAGCAAGTATCAGAAAATCGGCAAAGATTGACTCCTATAATAGAATCTATAATTTTTTTAGGACGCCAAAATATACCGCTTAGATGGCATAGAGATAGGGGACGACTTTTTTCTAATGACAGCACGAATGACGAGGATATCTTTAATAATGAAGGGAATTTTAGAGAACTAATACGGTTTAGAGTCGAGAGCGGCGACAATTTATTGAAAAAAAACTTAGAGAACTCAAAAGCGCATGCTAGGTACTAAGCAGCATCATACAAAATGAAATTATTTAATGTTGTGGCGAATAAATCTTGGATATAGTTTTAAGTTGCGTCAGGCAAAGTCAGTATTACAGTATTATATTTGAAGAAACTACAGACATTAGCCATAAATCACAAATGTCAATCGTATTGCGGTATTGTTATCAAAAACATATTTACGAGGACTTCATGGGATTTGTGGATTGCTACTCAAATTTTGATGAAGATACAATGGAGCCCAAACTCGCAGGTCCAACAAATAACTTAGACTCAAAACTATGTGTGGGCATTGATACTGATACGTGTAACCTAATGTTAGGTGAACAAAAGGGCGCTGTAATGGAATTGCAAAAATGTTTGCTAAATGCTCTAAAAAGCCCATGCGCAAATAATGCCTTGAATCTTTCGATTTCAAAAAGCAGCAGTGTCCAAGCAGTAAGAAATACAGTAGGTATAATGAAGGAAGTAATTGCGTTCTTCAAAACATTCGCTAAAAGAAATACAGTATTAAAAAGAAAAGTAGACGGATATCAAATTCATAGTATGTGCAAAACACGATGGACCGAGAGACATGATTCTGTGCTCCAATTTGAAAGCAAATTCGAGAAAATTGTAGAGGTACTAAATATTCTGTGAAACTGGAAAGACTGCGAAGCTTCTTCAAAAGCGGAGTCTTTGAAGACTGCCATTACTTCCACCCAATTTATCATATCACTAAAGTGTTTGTGTGATATATTAGCTTTAACAGTGAACCTGAGTTCAGATTTTAGAATCAAAAACAATTATTGACAAACAATACGCTGTCAAACTCATAGGAAATATTATTTAAGTTGTACAAGAAAGACGCCCAAATTCCGAAAACACTTTACAATACTATTCGCATCTATAATAATTAAATTACATGAAACCCTGGGTATTGAATTGACTGTGCCAAAAATAACAAGCAGGCAAATGAACAGACCGAACATAGTTACGTCTGACAAGGAAAATCATTACAGACTGAAACTATATGTCCCTTTGTTAGATAATGTATAATAAGATGTGGTATACCAGTTCAATAAAGAATCTTTGAATATATACAATTTTAATATTTTCTTTGCATCAGTATTTAATTCAAAAACTGAAGCTGAAGTAATGGACATATTAGAAACAATCTCTAAATATTCGCATGGACTAAATAGTAACGAAAATAAAAATTTAGTAAGTACCAGATTAAAAGCAGAATTTGACCTTTGGAATTCACGTACACAAAATATTATAAACAGTGGAATGTCACTGTATTTATCATGTGATGAAAACATTTTTCCTTCAATTAATAGATGCCTACAATTATTGATTTCATTGCCGGTAAGTGTTGCGACATCTGAAAGAAGTTTCTCTCTCATCTAAAGAGGTTAAAACTTGGCTGCGCTCCACTATGTTACAAGAGCGATTAGTGAGTTTAGCTCTTTTGTATATGCATAGAGATATTAAAATAGACGTGAATACAATCATAGATCGGTTCGCCAGCAAAAAGAATAGGCGCCTTGATTTTGTAATATGATAACACCTGAACTTTGCCTAAGATTGTCTCTCAAATCCATCTCTCTTCTGTTGGCCAATAAAAAAGCAGATGTAGTTAATGGTTTACTTACGTTTAAACCACCACGGTGATATTTTATTTATTGGCCAGCAGATTGATATAAATATCTGTTCAAATTCTGTTCAAATCACTTTCTAAGCTAATGTAATGATTGTTTTATTTTGAGACTGTGAACTGATGTAGTTTCATAGTTTATATGTTTTTGTTTTTTGAGACTGGCTAGAGAATGTAGTTATGCAATGAATATTTTTTGTGTTGTTATCATGATTAAGAATTTTATTTTGATTTAAATTCAGTTTTATACTTTATAGAGGTCGTAACATATTTGTTATTCTTATTTTTTTGACGAAGATGTATTTTTTTGTTGTTTTGTCTGCCGTTGTTATGTAGAAAAGTCTGTGATAGATTATCTTATTTTGCATTTTTGTTTTAATATATGAAGATCGCTCGAGCTTGGTTTGTTTTATTTACACTTTGATAGTCACTTTCTCTAGGGAAAAAACACCAATTTTATTTGATTACAACATTGATAGTATTTTTCTGGAGCATCATTCAACCACTAAAGATCTAGGAGTATTATTCGATTCGCAAATCAGTTTCATTACATTATATTGATATCAAAGTTGCTGAAGCATTCAAAATGTATGGATTCATCATTAGAAATTGTCGATCACTTAATCACTTAATAGTGGAGCAGCATTGAAATGGATTTTTTCTTATGTAGGTTCTAAACTGGTGTACTGTCTCAATGTCTGGAACCCATACTATAGGTTTTGACAAGGTTAGACGGGATAAACTACAAAGGGTTTTGAAATATCTAGTGTTTAAAAAGAACCATATGCAGAGTGTTTCACAACTTATCCGACAAATTTTAACTACATATGCACTGTTATGAAAGAAGTTGATTTTTCGAAAAAAATGTAATAAAAGTCCTACAGAAATCGAGATAATAAAATAATAGTTTAACAGTTCACCTACCTATAAAAGCTTCCATAATACCCAAAATTTCGTCTTCGGCAATTAAAACGCGTTGTGGGCGAACCCGATCCCCATCCACTCCACGTCTAGGGCGCAAATCTCCACTAGCACGTGCACGTAAAACAATTGAACTGAATGTGGTATGTGCCTATTCGGAAATCGGTGTGCATACAAACGAGAAGCCGCTCGCGAATTTTGTCCTACTTCTCCGAACACTAAAACACTGTCCACTAACTCCTCATTAGTGTACACATGTGCCATGTTTATCAATAAATAACTAAAAACATAAACTCGCAAAATACTTATTTGACTTCACAAAAATCGACCGTTCTTCATTCAGATCACCCGCGATATAGATTAAACCTTATTTACACGTCCTTATCAGTATGAAAAAACAAAAAATTCCTTTGTTTTCGTCAGTTGTTTGGTACAACATTTGCTCAATAAATTATTAATGCGTGTTCTAATTTCACGACGATGAACGTAAAATACAGATATTTATTTTTCAATTTATTATTGAAACTCGGGTTTATAACTTAATTCCTGTAGGACTTATATTACATTTTTTTTTTTTGAGAAATCAACTTCTTTCGTAACAGTGCATATGTGGTTAAATTTGTTGGATAAGTTGTGAAACACCCTGTATATCCATAACAAGGAACTGAGTATAATATTTTGTTGTAACTTTTTGTCATTGACAGTTTGGAACTCAAACGCAGACTGTCATCCCTTTCATTCCTATATAGTCGTAGTCACCGTTCTTGGGGGTTACGTCATCAACACCATATGAAATGAGTAAACAGATCGAGTCTCCGTACCATGGGCGGGTCTTAATCTTCCGCGCATATCATACTCTCTCCAGTACGCATGAAGTGGGTAACAGGGAACCACTGTTTTCCTTCTCTTCCTGGAAATGCTCTAATATATTTAGTATGTTCTGTCGGTCTTCTCTATTGATCGTATTTCCGGGCATTGTACAATTTTATATTGAAGATTGATAACAGGACAACTTAAATTGCATGCTGATGTCAAGTAAGTTGTCACTCTGACAAATGTGATTGATGAGCACTCACTTTATAGATGGAGGCACACGACTAAAAAACTTGTAGAGAGTGTACAGGTAAAGATGTGAATATCAGACTGAGCCAAATTGATAACACAAAGTGCTCGATTGGAGAGTGCTGACCATAATTTATGGGATGAACTTAATCTCAAGCAGATCACTATTACCCAATGTTCTTCAGGGAACATTAAGATTTTTTAATTTTGACAAAGTTTTGCAGTTGGTGAGCCCCAATAAGATCTTGAAAGCGAAACAACTATCAAAGACCAAGCGCCTTTGCTCCAATGTAGGTAAACGAAAATGTTCTAACATGTCAGCTCTATGATATTCCATCATGTTTAAGTTCATCTTTAATACTACAAGACGTAAAAATTTATATTGGACACACTCTAAATCTTCTTTATAACACTGGTACTGGGGGACCATACTACTGTGGCATATTCTAGATTTGATCTTACCTAGGAGCAGTATAAAATTCGGTAGGTATTGATTGAAAAACACAATTTTTCCACACAAAGCCCAGCATCTGTGTGCCCTTTATACTAATTTTGAGAACATGGTCTGAAAAGTTAAGCCTTGCATCAAAAACCACTCTGAGATCTCTAAGGGTAGCCTTATAAGAGAGGGCATTATTATTTAATTTATAGCTGGTTGAAATTCTACTCCTACTTTTGGAAAAACTGATGAAATAGCATTTATTAGAGTTCAGATACAAGTGATTCAGATGTGCAAACTGCCACAGAGCATCAAGGTCTGAAGGGCGACCATGTTATCTTTCTCTGTAATTGTCCTGTAAATTTCCAGGTCATCAGCAAACATAGTTCCTTTAAAATGAATTGGGACATCAAGGATGTCATTCACAAACAAAATGAAGAGGAGAGGAGCACAATGTGACCCCTAAGGAACCCCTGATGTAACCTTGAAGTTCGAAGACAGATGCCCACTGATTCTTACAGATTGAGTCCTACCCTTAAGGAAGCTCTCTAACCATCTTATAGTGTTTTCTGAAAAACCATAATCTGACAGCTGCTTTGCCAAAAGAATGTTGTAGTTCACTCTGTCTGAAGGCCTAGGAAAAGTCTAGATGTGTAGATTACATCCACCTATTTCCAAAGCCTCCAACAGATCAATTTTATAAGACACCAAATTCTCCACAGTTGATCTACCCTTAGTAAACTCAAACTGACAGCTACTTACAAGCCCATGGCAAGACCAGTTACATTGATCATATATCAAGCAATCAAAACGTTTCAGAATTGATGACTGGATATATACACCTCTGTAATTGCTAATATCTTCAACATCTCCTGACTTAAAAAATATAACAGTGCTTCCAAGTGTCAGGAAAAATACATGTTTGGATTGACATGTTAAAAATAACATGAAAAGGTTTAATAAGTGTAACGATACATTCTTTGAGAAAAACCTCAGGAATTTGGTGCTGAACTTCACTGGGAGACTTACGATTTTATTAAATACTTCCTCAAGAGAAAATTTGTTTAGTAGTATATCTCCTGTCTTCTTAAATAAAAAAAAAGATACAGGATACACAGAACCATCATAAACACCAGTAAAGTGCTTTGCAAGCAAATTACTCATTGTCATCCCATCTTACACTCTAACTCCCTCTAAGTGCATACTATTATGTCTTTGGGCTTACTAATCAAACATTCACACATAGGGGTAGGTTGCATGTGTATGTATGGGGGAGATGGAGATATATAAAGGGATATTGTAGTTTTACTTTGACCCTCCAAGAACAGTGACTACAACTATATTAAAGGTCAGATTACTTGACACTTACTCATATATGCTCTTCCTCAGCTGCTCCCTAACTTGGTTCTTATTCATATCAGTGCACCAAGTTTGCTCTTTCAAAAATGCAGCTACACTGCCTTCAACTCGCTGCCTTAAATTTTGGTATGCTGGCTTTGTATCTACATCTGATATGCACTCTTTCCGAAACTGATCAAAAATACCTTGCGACTTCAGCTCACATACAATTTGTTGTACAAGTCTTGGGTCTCCCGGCATATAACTGCTACCGACGATATCCATCCTCTAGCAATTGAATTTTATACAATTGACATTTTAGGTTAGAAACTTCAAGCGAAGCAAATACTATGTTGCTTACAAGGTATTTACAAATTTAGTGCGACCACGAAACTCACAATAAAAGCTTTTTTTAAGAATATAATACATGCACCACAAACAACCCTCAAACAACAACAAGAAACATTTATACCAATGAACTGTCAACACTGATGGAATATGGAATAGGCCTAACGCGAATTCATTGCGGCTAGAATGCAGTGTTGCCATACGTAGCGGAATTCCACTATTTGTAGCGGATTATTTTGAGAAGAGCGGCGTAGTGGCGGTAGAGCAAATTAGCCCAAAATGTAGCGGAATTTATTACATACAAAACTATCATATTTATTTCACTGTTTTAACGTTAATAACGTTCTAAATCCTAAATAGGCAGTGGCTAGAGTCTGATAGCACCGCCGTATGTCATTGCAAGAAACATGGCGGCATATGTCATTTCGTCGAATTATTCTGAGTAGGCAGACGTTCTTTCTGTGTCATATTTGTTATTTAACCACGAAATGGCGACATTCGTGTTGCTGGTTGCTGGTTGAATTACACTGAGTTAGCATTCTTTCAGTGTATATTTTGTGGTGAAAAGGTTTAGTCCAATGACGTCTTACCCAAATAGACCCGTAATGTTCACAAAAGTTCTTCCTCTAGAACAATCACTCTTTTTTGCGATGTCGCCAAATAAAGTTGGGCTCACGATCGTTTGACATTGGCCCCATGGTATCTACAACTAGCCAAATGACCTATTTCTGTTTTTCTAGACGAAATTTATGTATATTCTTATACTTTTAAGTTTTGCATATAGAAAAATAGTACACTCTTTAGTAAACTTAAATTCAAAGTTTCACAACACTGAATTTTTAAGTGTCACCAAGTCATTAGAAAAATGAAACTCAACCGAGAACATTTTCGCGCCATAATTTATTGCATCTATCGGAGACAATTAATGCAACAAGAATGCCTTGCTGAGTTACTGTCTGTTTTCGGCAACGAAGCCCGACATCAGTCGACAATTTCCCGTTGGTATGGAGAATTCAAACGTGGACGGGTGAGTCTACAATTGTAGGGCGCGTTTATGGCCTCCTTGATTGTCATACTCCTTTCTCTCCTTCAAAAATTTCTCGATTACACTTGTCCCGTGTCAGCGTCAGCGCTCTCCTATTGTGAATATATGTTTTCTTTTTAAATTGTAGGAAATTTGAGGCTGATAAAACATGATATAACTCAAAAGCAAGCACAATTTGATTCAAATAGATGTTTGTGACATAACCTCAAAATAGAGCGCTGACACGGAGAAGTAGAAAACTATGTCAATCAAGGAGGCCATAAAGGCGCCCTACAATTGTAGGGACGACTGACGATACGGGCCTTAGCGACCATCCCAGGGTGGGTGCCCCAAAAACGGCAGTCACCCTAGAAAACGTCGATGCTGGGCGCAAACTCATCATTGAAAATAGACATGTGACATATCGCGAGATTGAGGCGTCCTTGAAAATCTCAAAGACCTCAATTCAAAAAATTTTACATGAAGAATTAGGAGTAAGAAAATCAGTTTCTCGTTGGATACCCCACTGACTGAAGAGCAGAAAGCAGGTAAGGTTCATTGGTGTCAAAAAACGCTTGACTGTTTCAATTCCGGAAACTCAAAAAATGTGTACAGCATTGTTAGTGGTGATGAATCGTGGATTTACTGTTATGAACCAGAAAATAAACGACAGTCGGCTGTTTGGGTGTTCCAAGGTGAAGAAAAGCCAACAAAAGTCATCCGTTCTCGAAGTGTTTCGAAAAAGATGGTCGCGACATTTGTATTAAAAACGGGTCATATTGCAACAATTCCTCTTAATGAGAAAAGAACTGTTACTGCGGCTTGGTATACCACCATTTGTTTGCCAAAAGTCATCACCGAGCTTCGAAAAATCAACCCCGAAAGAAGAATCAGTCTCCACCAAGACAATGCAAGCTCGCACACAGCCCAAAAAACAAGGCAGTATTTAACGGAAGAAAACGTGGAATTATTGGACCATCCTCCATATAGTCCCGATCCAAGTCCTAACGATTACTCTACTTTCCCGAAGATTAAAAACAGACTGCATGGTCAAAGGTTCCAGTCACCAGAAGAAGCATTTGACGCATTCAAAAATGCTGTTTTGAATCTGCCAGCAAACGAGTGGAATAAGTGCTTCGAAAACTGGTTCAAGCGCATGCAGATGTGTATTAATCTTCGTGGAGAATACTTTGAAAAACAATAAAGTCATTTAAAACTACCTACCGTGTTGTTTTATTTCCATATGCAAAACTTAAAAGACATCCCTCGTATACCTATAATAATTTATAGAACAAGTGAAGAATACGCGAATTTTAATATAAAAAAATGTGCTTATCGTTTGTATTCGGCAACGCTGCGCTTGGTTGAAGTAGCTTTGTAGTAAGAGTGAGTTATCGCCTGTGAATCTGTGCGTGTTCCGTGTTTTCGCCGCCATTTTTATTTTGTGTGAAAATCGCTTTTTTTGTGTTTTTAAGTCTTCTTTAGACTTTTATTAAATTATGGTGAGACAAAAAAGTGTTTTGCGTAAGGTTGAGGCTGGGAAGGGGAGGGAAGCTTGAGAAAGTGGGACCATTTTGCGTCCCCAGCTGTTTCTCGCGGCGGACACCGGGACGGGAAAAGTCAGTTGTCCCACTCAATTCGGGACGTATAGTAACGTTAGATAGGCCACCTAGGCTGTGAGATACTTAATGAATTATTTATTGTGATTACACATTTGAAATTAATTTATTATTGATTGATATGTTGAATGAAAAGGTCCAGCGCCAAAGTAACTATTGCATTATTATACTTCACACTACTTCCATGCGTGCGAAGCCCCGGGTTTTGGCTAGTTTATATATAATTGCTATGTTATCAGCTTAAACATTTTCATATTTTGCACATTTTCAAATCCGTGCAATGTTCATTGCCAACTGATTATTGTTAACATAACTTGTGCTGGTGTGATATCCCATATTTACAATCGTTAGGTATGTTTTTTGTTGACACATTTCCTATCAAGAATGTCAATACAATTTTATTTTGCATTGATTGATCTCTATATAAAATATTTTGTAAACCATCAAATAAACATTTTTTTAAGTAGGTATTTACTGTGTTTTATTATTTCTATTTTGGGGTATTGTTCCTACCACAAAAGGCACACATTTTGATATTTTTGTTTACAATTATAAAATGAAAGCACAATGTGTAAACACACTTCTTTTTTGCATTGGTGGCCGATGATTAGAAGTATGAAGAGCGGGGGGAGGGGAGGGGAATTGCATGCTTTTTGTTGGAGACATCACGACCGAAAAAAGGGACATTTTTATGTCGCCAGACTTTTGTCAGGAACAGTAGGACAGAGACAAAAATGGAGAGGGAAAAAATCACACAAGAAGTCCACAACTGTTTCCTCAGGTTACACCCGTATCCGGATGTATGAGCATGTGTATCTACTTTAGTAGTTGCATATGTGCATTCATTTCGGGCCTGATGAAGCCAACCAGCAGAAATACGTATCGCTCGGGTTACCTATCATATTTTCTGCTCGAATCCACTGTCCTTATTTTTGCGGATTTTGCCCACTATTTTCCTATTTTTTGTTCTTCGAAGTTGAGTCATTTATTTTAACAGTGAGTAGATCTGATCAAAAGAAATGTTTTTTTCCTTTAACATTTTTCTGGTAAAATTAAAGTAACAAAGTTATAGCCCTTTAGAAGTTTGAGTACCGCCCTGTCACAATAATAATATTATGTGTTCGTGTTTGGCGACAACGGATATAATCCGCATCGGTTCATCGCATCGGAAACAAAAAAGCGAAAGAATTTGAAACGCTTATCACGATGTTTTTAGTTGGATTCAGTCGGTAACGCGTGAGTGAATAGTGGTGTTTGTTGCGTGGCTCAAACGAAATAAAAAATGGCACATGTTTACGAAAATGCTGAACTTGTGGACATGATTCTTATTTAAGGGGGGAGGGAGTCTTTACAAAATCGGTTTCCCAATCGAGTGCAACCAACCCCTCGTGCCTTTGTTAATGTAGTACAAAGGGCTCGTGAATCAGGTGACTTAAGACCTCACAGGGGATGCCGGTGCTCCAAGACCGCACGATCAAATACAGGTCCGCACTGAAATACTTGTCGGGAGGATACTTTATAAAACAAGGTAACATTTTTTTTATTTTTTTTTATTTTTACACACATATTTTGGTTTATCTTCCATCTACAATCACTATCTGAAAATAAATGACTCAACTTCAAAGTCACCCTGTATACCTTTCTCCGCATGATCATTTTCTCTTTGGGCTTGAAGTACCACAGCAAGTGGCTATAACCGGTCGCGTGGTTGTGGTTAGATGTTGAAAATTCAAGGTCTTCTAGCCATTTTATACTACAACGTGTAGGTTGGCTCTTGTTGTGGACTTCGTGTGTGACTTTTTTCCCTCTCCATCTTTATTTCCTCGGGTTACATCCGTATCCGGATGAATGAGCATGTGTATCTACTTTAGTAGTTGCATATGTGCAGTCATTTCGGGCCTGATGAAGCCAACCAGCAGAAATACGTATCGCTCGGGTTACCTATCCTATTTTCTGCTCGAATCCAATTTCCTTCTTTTAGCGGATTTTGACCATTACTTTCCTATTTTTTGTTATATATATATCCTTGAATTTCTTTGGGTAAAAGGCAACGTTTTGCATAAGTACACTCTGACAACTTCGATGATCTATGCCATCATCGTCTGGAGCTAAAAAACAATTTTTGAAAAATAGCAACAATAAGCAATTAGCAGAAAAAAATAATTATAATTACTTACTAAGGCCCGTATCGTCAGTCGTCCCTACAATTGTAGGGCGCGTTTATGGCCTCCTTGATTGTCATATTCTTTTCTCTCCTTCAAAAATTTCTAGATTACACTCGTCCCGTGTCAGCGTCAGCGCTCTCCTATTGTTAAGATATGTTTTCCTTTTAAATTGTAGGAAATTTCAGGCTGATAAAACATGATGAAACTCAAAAGCAAGCACAATTTGATGCAAATAGATGTTTGTGACATAACCTCAAAATAGAGTTCTGACACGGAGAAGCAGAAAATTATGACAATCAAGGAGGCCATAAAGGCGCCCTACAATTGTAGGGACGACTGACGATACGGGCCTTAGTCGGCGAGATTGTTGCTGAAATAGTTCTTAAACGA